TTGCAGGTTTGATTAGTGGGTGGTAAATCGCGCAATTTAGCATTCAACTCGTTTAAATGTTGTAAAAGAAGTTGCACGTTAATTTTTGCCTCCCGTCTTACCGTATCTTAGACGTGTCATTGTCAGCATGCGTTGGACTGGTTCCGTAGACATATTACTGAGCTTTCACAAAACGAGTCAGTTTTGGGGCGTTTTTGCTCTGTTTTGTTAAACATTTTGTTTTCACTACTAGCCTTACCCAGACCCATCCCGTGCTGTAATGGAGGTACCTTGCAGTGTAGCCGTACCCAGTGTAGCAGAGAACTTCAGGGAACAATCCGTTCTTCCATCTACTTATCTAACACCGACTAGGCGAAGGAGTGAAAAAGGTAGCGTTATAAACAGAATGACTTCTTATCTAATTCTCTAATTAGTCTCTAATGTTGCTGATAAGTTCGTCCTATTTGTAATGATCCTCAGAGAACTTTTGACTCAGCGGCAATCAAGAATGGTTTTGTTAGCGTATGGAGGGGGGGGGAGGGGGGGTTGAGAGGAGAGGAAAGACCGGTAGGGGGTGGGGAATTTGGCTCCCTCTCCTTTTTCCCTTATCTTTTCTTTTTGCGCCTGCCACTGAGCCAAAGTGTTTTTTTTTGTTTTATGAGAGCTGCCGTCAAGACGGGTTACACCGCACACTTGACCTTTGCAGTTGCAGATTCAACCAGACAAAGCTTGTTGTTACATAAAGCTGATTTTAGATGTGCAACCACCAGTACTTTCAAAAACTGTGCCTAATTTGGCCAATGGTGGTGTCTTTGAAATGTCAAAACTTTCATCTCCCCTCCCACAACTGATAGACCTCTAGGAATTTTACGATCATAATTAAAAACGTGAACTACAAATTAACACTGGAAAGTAGAAGGACGATTTGGATTTCTATTTGCTGAGAGGCGCACTGGAGTAGGAAAGTGGGTTGTTTTTTAATTTTGAAAAACTCAACATTTTTGCTCAGCTTTTCTACGTCTTAAACTTGCAGTTTCTCGACTTAAAGAAGGAACCTCTCTAGATCTTGACAGTTCTAGTGACAGTGATACTGGGGTGGACGTGGATCAAGATCGTTCAGATCTTAGGAGGGATCCATATTACGACGATATGATAACAAGAATAAATAGCCAGCTAGCGGCAGCAGTTGCCCGCGGCACGAGTCCTTATGTTATATATGGGATGGAAGACGATGATGCAGATGATTGGTGTTAAGAAATAAGTGCAGTACTCTTCAAAATCAGAATGCACTTGATAGTGTCCAGTAACAGGTCGCCAGCTGCTCCAGACTATAGTGACAAATACTGTGGAAGCTGTTTAAACGCGTAATGCAGAGATTAAATCGGATCACCCCGTTTACACGGTGAACAGAGAACTACGACAAGCATCTCAAACACCGCACGTGCATAGAGAATCTGTTCGCTTTTATCGCTAAACGTTGAGGTTGAATTTAATGGTTCTTACAACCTGGGAATACGATTCGGTTCAACTTATTTAAGTGTTGATGAAAACCGTGGTTACCTTAGACGAATCTACAGCAGAATTAAGACAGACATTGCTGTTTTGGAATGATCAAAATAACGAGTTAAACGCGTCAGTAAAGGATTCAATAGCAGAGACTTTCAGTTGTACAATGAAACGTTTTTTCCATTGCAAGACATTCTCTGCAAGAATTTGTGCTCCATTTCCGCTCAAAGACGGTTTGAAGAAAATGTTTTGTTTTTAAGATAATACATTCTTTTAAGTTAATTTAAGTAGACAAGAATAGACATGGATATTATATTCTTTCGCGCGGGTCACAAAGAGAAATTAATATTAGGAAGATGCAAGAAAGGATGAGCTACTACTGGTTCATCGCTCTTGACAGATGTTAGGAGTTATATAAACTAAACTAATCAAAAATGTTTAAATTATTCCGAACCATATTCATACCGGCAAAGTTAAAGTCTAATATATACAGTTTTAACATATGTAATGTAATGCATGTATATTTGGGAAAAGAACATAAATGTAATCCTTATTTTGTAGTGTTCCAAATGGTTTGCTCCGCTTTTATACATTCAGTATGTCTTCTAATAATAGTGCAACACAATAGCGTGGAACGACCGCTTTGTTTTTTTTTTTTCAATTTTGATTTTCGTGTTACCGCTATGCGGTTAGTACTGACGAAATACTTAATAACGATTTGTTTCGCTTCTGTTGTAGGCGAGCGTTCATAGTTAAGTTTGTGCATTGCGTATTGCTTTGTTCAGTTTTTTTAGGATAACATATAAATGACTAGACACTTGTGGGAACTCAGTTAAAAAGTGATTTCCTCAATTGAAATGTAATTAAAATCTGACAGAGGGTCGGTTTTACCCCTTTTTACCACAGTTTACTCTGTCATGTTGTTGGTTGTCTAAACGTGGGCACTGGCTAAAATATGTACTTGGTCTAAAGTCAATAGAAAGGTTCGAGAAACCGGACAAATATTGTTAATACATTCTGAAGAATAACTCTTTAACAAACGCCGGAGACTCTAAACCGCTTGGATACCACAATTCGGTTCAACGCGGTATCGCGACATCTTTGAAAATGGAAATGCCAAGCTCATACAGGGATCTTGCTCCTGCATCCCACATGTACACTTGTTAAATATTTAAAGAAAACGCTCTTATGAAACGAAGTGTTTCTTCTTGCATTTCAACGAGTGCAAAAACAAGTCCCAATGGATATGACTTCCTTCTATTAACAGGTCAAAGTGAACACGAAGCCCGTTTGTGAGATAAAAAGCAAGTTTAATTATAGCTTTTAATGACTTAAAAGTCAGAAGAACACTCCCTATGCTTAGTTATAAGCTTAACTCCGTTCTTGATAGAAATTCTTGACATATTACTTTACAGAGTGCTGTAGCAATGTTCAAGATATAACTGTTCTTTATATTCCAGCGCTACTACGTACTATAAAACTAAACGGGTCGTACTAGCTGTCTGTCCTGATTTACTCGTGTGTATCATTTTATCCATTCGCTGTCTAGCACGATGTTCGATGAGCGCGAAAGCATTTCGAGACACAAAAAACTATTTCATGGGAATATACTTTAATAGCTCCAGGTCAACAGTCGCGTCACCTACTCACTGAAAAAGCATTTACACAATGCATAGCTCTATCTCTATAAATGACTAGCTAAGGGCCTGTTATATGAGGTGAGCCAGCACGGTTAGCCGGGCTGGCTTCGCTAAGCCCTTGTTTCTTCTTCAATTTTTTGTTGTGTTTATATGAGGGACCGGGCCGGCCCGGCCCGGCTAGCTCGGATCTTGGCTCGAGCAACCGGGGTCTCGGCAGATCGGGCCAGCCCGCCTTCTCATATAAACACAACGAAAATTTTATGAGGAAAGAAGGCATGTGCCAAGCCAGCCCGGTAAAGCGGGCCAGTCCGGCTAACCAGGCTAGCTCACTTCATATAAACAGGCCTTAGTAAAGACTTCAAAGATAGGGTTCATGAGAACCTCCTAAGTTAAACATGCATGGCCTATGAATGTTTCGACTGTTACTCTAATTAGTATTAGGTCCCGTCTACACGAATCCGGATGCTTTTGAAACCGAATACTTTTTGATGCGAATCGGCCTTCCGTCCACAGGAATCCGGTGAATCCGCACACCGAAACCGCATATTTTTTAAAACGGTCCTCTAGAGTGGATTCTTTTGGATCCGACGGATTTGGTGAATTCGTGTGGACGACTAAAACCGGATATTTTTGAAGCCAACTACGTCATAAACTCAGGTCAGTCTTAAATGAAAACTTTCAAGTTCAAAATGGCGGACAACAATGTCCTGTTTGTCACTTACTGGCTCTTATAAGCCAGTCTTATTGCATGCGATGAAATCAATTTTGCTATTTTGACTGCATGAACAATTAGTCATTTCGAAAGACGACATAATCTCATCCAGATTGTGGAATCATTTATTTCGAGACGACGGCGCGTAAAACGTCTTCGTTCTGAACCTCGTCAAAGACGATTTTGGGTTCGTTCAGCGAGAACAAGTGCCTGGTGGGACAACATATGGGCAGGCCTGGCCATTCAGTGTGCTCGATATATCTTCAACAACAATCAAAAATGCCACGAAAGCAAATGCAAATCGCAGTAGCGTGTGGATGGGTTAAGCCAAACCAGATACACTGCACCGAATTCTTGTTGACGCAAATATCAAGTATACGGTTTCAGCGTATCTGGATTCGTGTGAATACAGACGTGACCTTGACTACTTTGGACGACTTCGTGAAATCGGTGCCTAGAGGTTACTCAAGCCGAGCGAAAGTCAAATAGTTATCAAAACAAAACAAACGTTCCACGCTGACCAGTAGGTACATCCTGACATAATCAGGTGCTCAAAACCACGTTTTACCGGGTTGGATTCACTTGCACTGTATACGCATATAGTTATCGCATTTGTACCTTGGAATATTTTGTTGTTTAAAGCTTAAAAACAATAAATAGTTCCACCATGCAAATGTGACGGCGATCGATGCGCATATCCAATGGCCGTTTTCACACCAGAGACGGATTATGCGTCTGAGACGGATAATCCATCCTCAAAACCGTCAAAATTGATGGAAAAACAGATGGATGAAGTCAGGCGGATTGTCCTTCCAAAATAAAAACCGTTCCACCTTCAAATTAAGACCTATTATCTGTCTGACGCGAATTATCCAACGCGTAACCCGTCTCAGACGGATAATCCGTCTCTAGTGTGATTTACGGCCAATGAGTCTACCCTCGATGAACAAGAACTCCACTTTTATAAAAGGAACCTTGCAATTGAACATAAAATAGGTTTTGATAACAATAATGATATGATAATACTTATCTAAGGAAAATAACAAGACAGGGAGGACATTCCATGTCAAAACAAATAAATACTGCGACCTTGTAATTCCTGCTTTACTGGTCACTAAATGGAAGCAATTTGATTAATTGATGTTAGACCTTGTCAAATTCGATCACCGGTAGCAAACAGGCCCAATCTTGACGCCGAACTGTTCCTTTCCTACTGCTCGATGAAAAAACGACAGATCTTCCAGAGGAAGAACATCCACCCTCTCGCTATCAAATGTGATCTCCGTTCTGCGCCACTTTCCATCGTCCCGCTGTTTAAATTTTCAAATATCAAGATATCAACAAACCAACGTACAAATCAAATCATGGATGAAAAGTAAGCTAAAACAGAAACTTGAACAAACTTTTGCAAATTCTCAGCTCGTAAGCTAGACTACGAGCAGTCTCTCTTTTTTCTGTAGTCCGTCGAGCAAAACGCGAGACACGCAAATGGCCACGCGCGTGACTGATGGCGCGAGAGGCTTTTTTCTTCTCGGGCTGCAGCCCTCGTTTCGCGCGTCTCACGGCTTCGCCGCTCCCGCGCGCGTGCATTGCTCTCACTAAATCTGATATGAAGAAAAAGAGAGACTGCTCGCAGTCTACTCGTAAGCGGGAGAGGTCGTCTGGTGGGAAAGACCAGGGGTGCTTACTCCTTAAATTCTATTGCATAGACATAAAACCACAAAATTTGACGTGGTGGGAGAACAACCCGCTAAAAAGTATATCCAAATCAGCTGAGCAGACAAATTGATTCGCCTCAAATCACAGCCCATATTTTCTGAAGCCTCCCAAACGGAAAGGCGCTAACCTCATTTGATTTTCTAACCGGAATTTCCAGTCTTTCTATGTCTTTTTTCTGCTTTTAGCCTGGTTCTTTCCCCAGAGTTAGTCGCCCCCCTTTTGGAGCTTGTGGTATGGGGAACTATTCTCGTCGGCCGAGAAGTGGACGATCACAAAGTAAGATTACGAGTGCATGATCGCTTGAACTATCTTCCCTTCTATCACAGTAGTGTCATTATCGGTTGTGGGGGTTTGACTGATACCGCTAGCATAAGCTAGACAGCGAGTGTCTTTCATTTCTGTCAAAAATGGTCGGTCGGACCATTGATGTGGCAAGCGTGAACATCTGTGATCGCCCCATCGTCATCGATGTGAAACATCCGCCCCACCACGTGAAAAAGTTTACGCCTTTTGGCACAAGCTGAGAGCTCGAAACAAGCTACTAATAGTACAAAAAAAAACTAAAAGAAACAAACAACCGTATCAATAATGTCAATGAGAGCAAAGGATTGATCAACGCCCCCGGGTGCAATGGTTAGTAGCTATGTAGTCACCTGGCAATAGTTACGCATGACTTTTGGCTTCGGGTTGCTGTTCGGTGTGAAATCGAATCCTTTTCGTCCATGAAAAATCCACGAGTAACGATAACTTCTACTGACACGGTGAAACCATACTACAACTCTCTTACATTTGACTCTTACAGATTGCCTGACTCTGGTACTGAGAAGTCGCAGGAAATTGAACTGAATTCTACTGGCCGTGTAATTGATCTATAAATGAACCAAGGCAGGTTCTAGTCAGTACAAAAGAACATTGAGTTCCACCTAGGAAATCACATTACTCTCTAACTACTGCAAGGACTACCTAGCTTATCAAAAATACTGCTGGACGACTGACGAAATCAAGTTAAATTACTATACCTCTAAAAACGAGATACCTCGTTGCAAACATATATTACCTTAAACCCTCCTTCAAGACGGGAAAATCTGTTCCAAGATGCTTCTGGGCTACTCTGCCACGTCCTTTTAGGAATCTAGTGATAGAAAGACTAATGAGTTAATGCTAAGCTATGCTTTTCCCCTTTCCCCTCCTTCTTCCATTCCTCGTAAGATAAGTTCTTTAAGCTATGACAAACTGAGAGAGTTAAAGGGTGCTAACCCCCAATACAAAAGGATTTGGCATGTTTCTTGAAAAGGAAGTTTTCAGAGTTTATTAACCTTACAATCTTTGTAATTTTCCAATTTATTGGTGTACATTTTATTGTGTATTTACTACATGGACAGTTTACTCGTAGAAATCGACCAAAAAAACAATTATGAAAACTGCCGTCAAGTTGTCATCAGGGACTTTAAGCAACGACGACGGCAGTGAAAACTTCGCTAAAAAAACGAATTTGCGTTCGTTCAAACTTAATCGCGTCTATTTGGACCCGCTCATTATGTCAAATGCAGGCGACTTTTCCTGGAGTTGAATTCTTAAGGATTTACTCAAGTTCAAAAACTAGGAAGGAAAATTCGTCGTCGTATGTCCACGTCCTCCATAAAACGTCAAATTAATTAGGAGGTTTCACGTCGTAATCGTGCAGTGGACGTCAAAGAAATGTAGCGTGATGCACGTGCAGGGCTGTTGTTTTGATCATTAAATCTATTGTTTTTTGAATTTGTCGTCGTCGTCGTAGTTGTAGTTGCTTAAGCTCCCTTTCAAGTTCATTGCTGGACGAAAAGACAAGGAAAACTACCGTATCTCGAGAAGGTGGAACACAAGTCTCTCCGCCAGCAGTAAAGTTGCAGTAGACTCGAATTGCATCAGCAGGGCAACCAAGGTTAGGGTCGATCCAAAAGTAACCTGTATTAGAAGACACGACAGAATAGATTAGCCGTACGTTTACACCGCACCGGACGAATTTTCGACCAGCTGAAAAATTTTACCGGACACTTTATTCAACCGGGACCGTTCAGTATTTTTCGCTCTGTTGACACGGAACTTTCAAGCGTCTAAATTCTCGCGCGGTTAAGATGGTTCCGTGTAACACCTAAACGCACGAATAGTCAACCAGTCGAAAATTCGTCCGGTGTCCTGTGAACTAGCCTAGAAAATGCAGTAGAATCAATATTTGTTTTAAAATGGTGATGTCTCATAGTTTAATGAAGCGCACCATTTTGAATGTTGTCAATATCCATTAGTTCTTTACAAGTCATGGCAGGGTTATCCTTGGTACCAACAGGAAATTTGTAGTTTTCCACTGACGATGACATGTAGAGTATCGTCTTTAGATTTTGGACTGACTGAAAGAGAGTCATAATACTTGGAATCAGCTGCGGATATCGGAAATTGCAACAACAACAACAAAAGTAGCAGAAGAAAAATACTCTAATTAACCTGGTCCAGGGATTGGTAATGTGTAAGTCTGTGAAGTCCGAGCACAATTCCTGGAGGACCCTAAGGTATCAAAATACATAATTAGAAACACATGTTACGTGCTCAATCACATAACTGCACTCTCACTGAAGACTAACACTGCCAAAAAAGGTGATATAAAGAAATTTACCGGAGACCCATTTTGACCCTGCAAATGAAATAAAGATAGGTAAGAATAATACCAAGTTAAGCTTTTAAATGAAATCCTGAAGGAAACGTCAGAGGGTTTATCCGGTCACAACAAAGTGAAGAACCCCCGACTGATTCAGTGAATCTGCGCTGAGGCTAGTTCTACACTCAACCGCAGAGCCGGCACGAAAACCATATCGGATAGGTTTTTTGTTCACGCACAATTACGTTGTTTTCTGAGCGATTTCTGTAAAGGAGCAAAGCTGCGCCTCGCCTTTCTTGAATTAGCCTGCGTGGCAGGCGCTTGGAAGCAGTAGGCGAAGGAGAGAACGCGCGCGTGCGAGGGAGACACGCGAGGGGTGAGCTCCCTCTCCCCTCGCGTGCCTCCTTCTCGCGCGCCCGGTTTTTCTTGTGCCCACTACTTCCAAGCGCCTGCTACGCAGGCTAATCTTGAATGTGTATTGTCAACTATCGGATGGGTTTATTGTGCGACTCACGATAGTGTGAACAGGCGGGAGTATATTCATGTCGACATCAAACGCTATCCCGTGTAGTGTAGACATTCATTCAATTTTTCCATAAAGCATTGTTTTCAAGTGCTCCTGGGAGGACTGTATATGGAACGTTTTCACATGACGTCACGTAGCTCCGCCATATTGGTGTCCCAAAACAATAAAATGGCGGTCATGTTGGTACCCCAAACCAGTCCTTTGGGAGTTGAACTCTTTTCTTGTGTAAACTCTCCGTGTTGCCGCATTAATTTGCATAGCGGCTGGCCAAGACAGTGAAAACGCTCTATGCCTAAGGGCATTTGCAAACAGTATCTCTGGGGAGAAAACAGTGTCCTATTACACAACACTCTCACTTCGCACTCATTGAATATATTCAGTTATGAAAGAGTTGATCGAGCGCCTTCAGAGGAAATAGAACGTGGCAGTAGGCTAACCCCACGAATTTTCAGCGCGTGGGTGGGTGGGTGGACCGTTCCGCCTTCGTCCTTGGTACTGATCTGCGAGTGAGTGGAGCAAGAATGCTTTGCCACTACTTATTGTCGCCCCAAGGGCCTTTATCGCCCAGCCTGGGTATTTCTCGTTCGCACGTTAGTTATTTCTCCCCATTAGCACGGGGTTCTAGCATTCGCGCTTTGTTTTCGAGCGTTGAGACCGAAAATTGCTTGACTTTTGCAACGTCTTTTGTTCGTTTGCTTTTTTTTTACGATCTGCACGGGCTAAGCACCAGTTTCTTGAAAATATGCATACTCAACAAACTTGAATTCGAGCGCAGCAGAACAAATGTAAAAAACGCGAAAATACAGACTAGTAACTGCGTTTGTTTGATTCACAACCTGCCTTTCATTTGTTTGAGAATTACAATGAACAAAAGAGGTGGGTCCTAGCGCAAGTTGTCTACACGTAATCTGAATTCTAATATGTAACTCTGACCACGATTATCATTTTGTTCGTTCCAAATAGCTTATTCTTTTGCGTTCTTCTGTAGCTTCAAGCGGATATTTCTTGGACAAGTAGGTAAGTGTTCAATTGTTTTAAATAGCACGGCCTTGCCACGTGAAGAATATATAGAGCGTTTACAAATGACATCACATCCGCCCTATTTGTGAACCAAGACAATAAAATGGCGGCAATGTTGGTGTTCCGAACCAGTCATGTAGGAGTTGAACCTTTCTCTTATGTAAAACCTTCCAATAAATTTACATAGCTGCTAACCACGTGACTGAAAACGCTCTACACTGCTGGTTTAAGCCTTCTAAAGCATTCCGCGTTTAGAAAATAAGCAAAAATAGAAGGAGACTTACCGAAATTCCTCTCAAACCCTGTAAAATGAACAGAGAACAAAGAAACTACTTTAGTGAATGGCAAGAATGAAAATGTCCGTAAACATTTTATTACGCGATAAATCCAAAAGGAAGGAAGAAAAAGAAATCAAAACAAGCGACCTTGTTAACAAGTCACGTTTATCATACAAAACATTACCTTCAGCCCGGAGTCACCCTGAATGGAAAGAAATCAAGGAAATACAGAATTAACAATAAATAAAATTAAAGCGTAAATAGTTACATAACAAAGATTCCACTATTCGAAGATATCAAATATTCGGTTGAGTACGCGAGGAATATTTCAAAGAAAAAACAGGTTCTAAGATAAAGGTCGACGACTTACCGAGATACCTTTCTCACCCTGAAAAGAAAAAAGTATATACGTTAAAGTTTAATACACGGTTTTTTTTAAGTTTTAGTTTGAAAAGTATAGCATGTGTACATCCGTATCCTCCCCGTTAAGGAGAAAAAAAAAAGGACAAAAAAACGATGACAACCCTCTCTCTCTCCCCGATTTTGTTTTGTTTTGGGGGTACAAGGAGGATGCACATACCGGTAGGCTAGAAATGCAAGGTTGTTGCTGTGAAAAAAAGGCACCACAGTCGCCGACGATGCGTTCAAACTTTCTCTAAATGTGACCAACACCGAGTTCACGCTGATTGGTTCCAGACAAAACCTTAACATCCCGACTGCATCTCCCACTCTAACGGTCAATGGCTCAAACATAAATCAAGTCACAACAACTAAATCTTTAGCGATACTTACTGATGCAAATGTTACATTGGCTAGCCATATCGATAAGGTTGCTAAAAAAATTACCTCCGGCAAAAATTGCTTCTATTAAACGGGCCAGACAATTTGCAACCCCCCCCCATCACCACATTACATCTTATTTACAAGGCCTTAATTCCACCGCATTTCGATTATTGTAATGTTGTCTGGGAATCCTGTGGCAAAAAAAGTATCGAATAAACTTCAAAAACTACAAAATCGTGCAGCCCGAATTATGATGCCGACGCATCATAACTAATGGATAGCCTAAACTGCAAAAATCTTAGTAACCAGCATGACATTCAAAAAAGCCCTTATAGTTTTCAAATCTCTGAATGGACTTGCTTCTTAGTATTTAAGTTCCAAATTTACTAGTCGACCTGATACAACTCCTTATACTTTTCGAGATTCTGTGAATAAATTAACTATTCCATTGCCACGCACAAATCAGTTATCTTGTGATAGTTCCCGCTACAGTGGTGCTGTTCTCTAGAGTAGCCCTCCTCAAAATGCAAGGCAAGCAGAATCTCTGAATATATTCAAGAAACTTTTGGACGATTACTACATGAACAACTAGAAGTACGGCATTCATGGAAAACATGTTTTTTCTTTAAATTTGTTGTAACAGTGATAATAATGTAATTGAAATTACCATTTGGATTTTGACTTGTAACTATCTTAAGTAACTAGATGTAAATAGATTCACCCTTTTTAGTACCTGAATGAATTTTACCGTGGGTCAATAAAGATTACTGTATTGTATTCGTATTGTTCTAAGGCTAGTTTGAAAATGAGCAAACCGAGGTGTCGCTGAATGTGTAGGGTTGTGATATAAATTAATCCACTCCATTTTGGATGACCAATCCTGTAGTTGTTCAAAAATGAGTTAAGCGTTTTTCTACTAGCCTTCGATGTCAAAGTTATAGTCCAGGTTTGTTCTTATATCCGAAACGACAACCTAACAGAAAATTTAAGACTTACCACGTCTCCAGTAGAACCCTGAAAATAAGACAGAAATTAGTGTGACAAATTAAACAACTCAACGCAAGTAATTAGAAACGTTTAGTTATCCTTTACACTTCTCCTACTTTGTTGAATAACACCATAGCTTTTCAAACATTATGGTCATGTATCTTGCATATCATGGCAAATAATGTATCTCATAGAGCTCAATAAGCAAGCGTTTCTACAATGTTCTCCCTCACTGAATTACATTTTTTCAAAAATTGTTGGTTTTTGTTGTTTTAGACCACAAGCTGACATTCTCTTTTACGCTTTTTAAACATGGCAGTTTCGCCTATATAATGTATACATCGAACAGCAATCCCAGTCTACAATAATTAGGAATCACCTCACAAAGTTGTTAAAAATCAATGGGCTAGACGTCAGTGTTTTGTTTGATATCTCAAATATTTTTTAACATATATTTGTCGCTGCATTAGTAGTATAGTGTGGACCGCTTACTCCGTGAGAGAAATTGACGTGGATGACGTTAAAAGGCACTTCGTTTTAGATAAGGTGATTTCATGTTCTTCTTTTATGGTTATTTTTACTGGTTTGACAGGTTTCGATGATGTCATGGGTCATAACCCTATTTGGCGTGGTATGATTCGACGATGTCACGGCTGTTTTGATTGGTTTGAAGAATTTCAGAAAGGTTATTAGTTTTTGGACTCGTTTGAAGAAGCAGTCCGCTCCTCCCTAAATGCATCATTCATGAGTTCTGAGTTTAAGAACGAGGCGTAGCTCTCAACCAGTCTGGTATACTTGAAATTTTTGTTTGTTTCATCACCGCAGTACATTAGATGTTTTCGTAGACATAATCGGAGAATTTGAATTTGGAAACTCAATTTTTAGAACGAAAATGTATTCTAAATCCGCGAAAAAGGGTTTTTTTTTTCACGGTTGAAGTTTTCTTATCAACACCTCGTCGGGCCACCAACCACTATCAGGTCTGAATCGTTTTCACGTATTCATTTTTTTTACCTCTTAGGTTCTGCAGTTACATTCCATCTTTTTTGGACCGTTTTTGACAAAAATTAAGATTTTTGGCATAATTCTCACACAATCGAACTTTCACTGATGGTAATAGCCGTCTACGTTTCTGTTGCTATTGTTATCAGCATAATAACCCAACGAAGCAGGCCAGCTCATTCGAAAAACTTACCACATCTCCGATGAAGCCCAGGTCTCCCTCTCGCCCATGCATTCCAGGTTCACCCTAGAATCCAAAATGAAGCATAGATTGTTTATCTGAAGTAGGAAGAGAGTTTCTGTGAAACGACGGGCAGTCCATTTTCAAAAAGAAAAGATTACAAAATAAACACTCTCTATTGAGTGGTGCAAATTATCCATAGGGGATAAGACAAAACCTACTCTCTTAACTTGGTTCAACAACAATGAATACAGCTTACCCTTTCTCCTTCAGCGCCCACCTCTCCGCGAGGTCCTTCAACACCCACAGGACCCTGTGAGATACAAAGCTAAAAGTTACCTGAGTAAGAGTTACACTCCACGGCAGGAGATTCGAGAGGAATTGAAGAAAATTCCATACTGGTCGAATGAATCTTCAAATTTACCTTTTTTCCTTGAGGTCCAGCTAGTCCCTTTTTCCCAGGACTACCACGCTCTCCCTAAAAACCAGAGCAAGGAAAAATCTGTGAGTGCAAGAACAAATTCACAAATACAAAAACGAAAAAGGAATGATACTAAACCATTATCATTCAAAATGTCTCGCAGCCTCTTAGTCTGATTGGCTTCAATCCGTCAACTATTAATTCTTTATAACCAGCTGGCGCAAACCAGTTCGGAAGATACGCGCAACAGACAATCGTTGACGTCAGTCACTCTGTGATCAACGATTGTATATTGCCAATTCAGTAAAATCCAACTAGTGTTCTATTATCAATGCTGCGTTCTGATTGGTTGAGCTACTACTAGGCTATATTTTACAGCCCACTAGTAGCGAAAAGAGCCGGCTTTGAAAACCAAAACAATGGCGGCTGAATCGAGTTTTGCTAGCTAAAGTTGTTTTGTCTCGATATTTTTGACCAACTAGTTGGATTTTACTAAAACAATTATTCTTCGAGCCCGAATGGGCTCTGAATCAAAAGCCTAATCATTCAATTCACTCAGACAGCGGCGCGGGCAGCGTACCTGTTTTTAGCATCAGCGTCATAGAAAAAACGGCATTAGTTTTTCCAAACACCCTCCTCGATCTACAAAATTCTTCGTATCACACCCAGCCTTATTCAAAAATAGCTAGATAACAAACCACAACTCACCATATCTCCCCGCGCGCCAAACCCTCCTCGGGAACCTTTTTCTCCTGGAAGTCCCTGGTAACGAAACAGGCGATTATTTAAACTGAAAGCAAAAGTCGATTTGTTGAGCTGAGAAAGACTTAGTTGGTCAGTTAAGCGTTCCAGTTAACACAAATGAACGGTAGACAAGAGGGCATTTTTAAGCCACGCTTAGAAGCAGTTCCTACCTCGGCTCCTTCGGTTCCTGGGTATCCAGTTTCTCCAATTAAACCCTTTCCTCCCTAAAAAAGGTGCAGTTCAAATAAGCGATTAGGTGAGAACCGACGATAGATGCTGAGCTGGGATTGATGATAAATGAGTGAAAACGTCTGAAAACAAATACATATCTAAATACATTACCTGAGGTCCTGGAGAACCTTGAAACCCCCTTACACCAGGTGGACCAGCGCTTCCCTGGGATACCAAAATAACGTTAGAGAAGTGGTCTCAATTACACTAATATAAAATAACGGCTGTTCTTTAATCAAATAGAAAGTTCGTTTATTAGCCTGTTAGTTGTTGATGCCAATAGAACTACACTGTTGGAGACAGTTTTTTATTACGAATATTACCATAAACCATACAAGGTCCTTTGCATACCATGGGTCCTGCCTGGCCACTGATTCCAAGAATACCTTGAGCACCTGGTTCTCCCTATAATTTGAATAACAGTATTTGTCCTGAAAACTAAAGTCAGCTCTGCAAAATGCTAAAAACAACTCAGGAGTTAATGTCAAGCTTACATCTTAGTGGTTACTTGGAGATGAAGAATCAATTTAAGACTAACAAAAATAACCATCTTTATGGTTTGCGTTAAAAAGGAAATATTACCTTTTCGCCTCTCCCTCCACCACCTCCTTTAGAACCACGGTTTCCTTTCCCGCCCTTTAAGTAAAAAAACATATATTCTTCATTAGGTAATTGAAGGTTTATATACGTGGTTCGTTCCAATGTAAAGTATTTCATCTTACCGAAAGTCCTTCCAATCCCATAGCTCCACTTTGTCCTTTGGATCCACGAGAACCCTACAATTATCAAAATTTACGAGTCAGCCACTCAACAATCGTTTTCCTGTAACAATTTCAACCCACGATTAAAGATTCCTTGATTCGAAAAACGTCTGGTTAAAAATTTCAGAAAAGAATATTATTCAATCCAGAAACGATCTCGGAAATCATACTTAAGTTAACGTACCGCGACAGATTTACATGTTGTAGACTTTGGTCTCGTAGGGTACATTTATTGAGTTCGAAACAACGCGAAGGATAAAAACTTGGAAACTATCATACTTTTAAAGAGGACACAAGGATGGCTAGCATTTTAACGTGGAAAACAAAATTAAATTGATGGAATTATCTCCTGCTATATCTTTTCTGTAATTCAAACTCTGTTCTCTGTTAGTTCCTGCTTTCCTTTTCTGAAGGTTTCCACAAATCTAAGCCTTTATTACCTGAGGCCCAGGAGAACCATCCTTGCCTTCTTTGCCCTTTTTTCCACCTTCACCCTGAATATAAAACAACAGGTTCTTTTATAAATGCAACGACCCAAACAAATGTGGATAACACTCCTATGTCAACACCCAGAGGAGAGTATTTATTAACCGATATGGACACCTCACTTTGAGTAACTGCAAAACAACAATATTACATAGTACGAATATTAAATTTTATTCAAAGTTAGGTAGAAATTGTCAAATACAGTTATCCGTATAATTCGTTTTGAGCATCACAAATAACGAAATTCAAAAAGACTTAGTCAGTATTTAACACTAATTAAAGTAGTCTTATGGGGTACGAAAAATACCTTTTCTCCAGAGTCACCTCTAATTCCACCTGCCCCAGGGATGCCTGTAATACCCTATAGGTAGAAGTGAGAAAACAAATCAGCGATTGAAATAAACCCTGTTATATATTTCTTCAAATTTACCCAAACGAAAACTAAACATACCCCGATACCCACGACTCCACGATCTCCAGGAGGACCAGGAGCACCAGCTGAGCCCTGCAAACAAGAAAAAAACAATTCAAGATAAAAAATTATTGCTCGCCTCTAATAACAATAAGGGCAAACTGCAATTAACCCATATCAAAAAAGAAACATTAAAATACAGTTATAGCTATTAGAACTTTACCTGACCTCCAGTAGCGCCTCTTTCTCCTCTTTCCCCTACAGGTCCCGAAAAAGCCTTAAAACAGACGGGACAGATACTTCAGTTCTTACTTTTTACATTACACTACATACTAAACCGCGATAAGAAACTCCAGCCAGATTAAAATGTCTTCATTTTCAGGTTCCTCTAAATAATAATTACCGTTCTTCCAGCGACGCCACGCCCACCAGGTTGTCCTTTCTCGCCACTGAGACCCTAGGAAAATTATAAAACGAAATTTTCACAAAGGGTACAAATATTATTCACGCCTGATATAACGTTGGGCTATTTTAGAAAAGCCTGAACTTGCTAATGTCCCCTAACTTTTACTGGTCTGAATTCTGTTAACTGAAGTTACGTAGCAACATAAGTATTAACCTTTCGCCCTTTGCTTCCAGATGAGCCTCTTCTTCCTTTCTCTCCAGTTTCACCCTGAAAGACGTAAGCCGAACACCACAGAGAAAGTTAAAGCAATCCACTTAAGTGAATTACAATACGAACGTCGTATATCCAGCATTGTTCGCTGGCGTGATAACTCCATGCAAACGTTCTTATTTGGTAAAGGAATCAGACATGTTACCGTCTCTCCTATGTCGCCTCCTTCTCCAATTTCTCCAGGAGGTCCTGACTCACTACTCTGAAACATAAGAAAAAAGTTTTTATTTGCTTTTTCAGATTACAGCGATGAGAACAGACAAGAAAAATATCAAACTAAGCTAGTGATTGCTTTCACTCAAGAGTTGAGGGATTTGAGCCCAATAGTCATATCGTTGCTCTGGTGTGGACTCTGTTTATTGGCACAATTGGTTTTCATTTTCATTTCCAACACGTACATGCACACATGCACAGTTGACTTAGGATACTGACCGTAGGGCCCGCGTCACCCACAGGACCCGGGCGTCCTCGCAAGCCTTGCATTCCCTATGTAAAGAAACAAAGACCAGTAAAACCACAAAATAAAAGACGAATCCTGAATGGGATGCTTGATCTTTATAGACGAAAATACATAATTGAACGGACTACGGGATTGAATTGTCAAATTCTTTAAAGCATTATACTGGGGTAGCATATTTCTTTATTCGTTTGAGTAATGTTACTCCTGAATCTCACAATGTTGTCTTCGTTTCGGTTTTTCATTCTACTGCTACTCTTATGCTTCGTAAAATGCATTATAACCGTCCGCGAAGCTGATGAAAGCAAGCAAACAACATACCTCTGGCCCTTTCAATCCAGTAGCACCCCACTGTCCAGTATCACCATCTTCACCCTACACAGCAATAAATAATAGGCGTCTATGCATTGATAAAATAGAATAGGGAGAAACGTTCTACGGCAGGATTACAGAGGACGTATCACGACACCTTTTGTCCTTGGATTCCTTGAGTGCCCATTAAGCCTGGCACACCAGAATAACCCTGGGGAAGGCGAGAAAACCAAACAAGATAAAATTAAGACTTTGAACACGCGTGGGAATATGTCACTGCAGCATTTTACATCAATAATACCTCTTTTCCAGATTGCCCTTGATTTCCAGATACTCCCACGTCTCCTACAGTACCCTGAAAGATTACCAATATTATAATGTTTAAAGAAGGGTAAAGAAGGGTACAGACATATAGCGGAAACCATAGTGAGTAGTAAGAATCAACTCACCTTCAAACCTCGTTCTCCTTGAGGGCCTTTGGAACCTGGTGCTCCAGCTTCACCCTGACAAACAAGTACAGTAAATTCAGATTTAAAAATTTAGAAACAAAACCAGCACAAGCAAGATATAAAGACACTGATATTTTCCTTCAGCGTATCACGTGATTTAGTTACTGGACATGATATGGGACAGATTTACGTGCTGTAAAGCTTTAGTTAAAGCACGTAAAAAAACAAGGGCGGATATCGACCTAGAATCCCTTATATTTTCTAATTTTTCAAATTTTGAGCTTGATTCATTTACCTTAATTCCCCGTGTTCCGTTCCTTCCTGATAGCCCTGGTGGTCCTGGTGCACCCTTTGATATAAACAAAAAACAGTGTAACGGTCTCTAACATCACATCACATCACATCACATCACATTACATTACATTACATTACATACTAAACCGCCAGAAACTCTAGCCAGCTTAAAATGTCTTCATTTTCAGGTTCCTCTAAATAATAGTTACCGTTCTTCCAGCGACGCCACGCCCACCAGGTTGTCCTTTCTCGCCACTGAGACCCTAGGAAAATTATAAAAACGAAATTTTAACAAAGGGTATAAGTATTATTCATGCCTGATATAACGATGGGTTATTTTAGAAAAGTCTGAACTTGCTAATGTCCCCTAACTTTTACCGGTCTGTATTCGGTTAACTGAAGTTACGTAGCAACATAAGCATTGACCTTTCGCCCTTTGCTTCCAGATGAGCCTCTTATTCCTTTCTCTCCAGCTTCACCCTGGAAGACGTAAACCAAAAACCAAAGAGAAAGTTAAAGCAAACCACTTAAGTGAATTACAATACGAACGTCGTATTTAATATCCAGCATTGTTCGCTGGCATTATAAATCCACGCAAAAGTTCTTATTTGGTAAAGGAATCAGACATGTTACCGTCTCTCCTATGTCGCCTCCTTCTCCAATTTCTCCAGGAGGTCCGGACTCACTACTCTGAAACATAAGAAAAGCGTTTTTATTTGCTTTTTCAGATTACAGCGATGAGAACAGACAAGGAAAATATGAAACTAAGCTAGTGATTGCTTTCACTCAAGAGTCGAGGGATTTGAGCCCAGTAGTCAGATCGTTGCTCTAGTGTGTACTCTGCTTATTGGCGCAATTAGTTTTCATTTTTATTTCCAACATGTACAAGTACACCACACATGCACAGTTGACTTAGGATACTGACCGTAGGGCCCGCGTCACCCACAGGACCCGGACGTCCTCGCAAGCCTTGCATTCCCTATGTAAAGAAACAAAGACCAATAAAACCACAAAATAAAAGACGAATCCTGAATGGGATGCTTGATCTTGATAGACGAAAATACATAATTGAACTGACTACGGGATTGAATTGTCAATTTCTTTAAAGCATTATACTGGGGTCGCATTTCTTTATTCGATTGAGTAATATTACTCCTGAATCTCACAATGTTGTCTTCGTTTCGGTTTTTCATTCTACTGCTACTCTTATGCTTCGTAAAATGCATTGTAAATGTCCGCGAGGGTGACGACAGGAAGCAAACAACATACCTCTGGCCCTTTCAATCCAGTAGCACCCCACTGTCCAGTATCACCATCTCCACCCTACACAGCAATAAATAATAGGCGTCTATGCAATGATAAAATAGAAGAGAGAAACGTTCTACGGCAGGATTATAGAGGACATATCACGACACCTTTTGTCCTTGGATTCCGTGAGTGCCCATTAAGCCTGGCAAACCAGAATAACCCTGGGGAAGGCGAGAAAACCAAACAAGTTAAAATTAAGACTTTGAACACGCGTGGGAATATGTCACTGCAGCATTTTACATCAATAATACCTCTTTTCCAGATTGCCCTTGATTTCCAGATACTCCCACGTCTCCTACAGTACCCTGAAAGATTAGCAAAATTAAAAAGTTTAAAGAAGGGTACAGAAAAGTAGCGGAAACCATAGTGAGTAGTAAGAATCAACTCACCTTCAAACCTCGTTCTCCTTGAGGGCCTTTGGAACCTGGTGCTCCAGCTTCACCCTGACAAACAAGTACAGTAAATTCAGATTTAAAGATTTAGAAACAAAACCAGCACAAGCAAGATATAAAGACACTGATATTTTCCTTCAGTGTATTACATGATTTAGTTACTGGACATGATATGGGACAGATTTACGTGCTGTAAAGCTTTAGTTAAAGCACGTAAAAAATCAAGGGCGCATATCGACCTAGAATCCCTTATATTTTCTAATGTTTCAAATTTTGAGCTTGATTCATTTACCTTAATTCCCCGTGTTCCGTTCCTTCCTGATAGCCCTGGTGGTCCTGGTGCACCCTTTGATATAAACAAAAAACAGTGTAACGGTCTCTTGTAGTTGTTAAAACAATTTCGGAGTATGGCTACAAAATGTAGCACGCTGTTAATTACCGGCCGCAAGAAGCGCGACTTTCAAGAGAGACAAAAACAAGAAAGACATTAAGAATTAGAGAAAAAAATATATCCAGGATATTCACCCCGGGGGTTAAAGGGAACAAACTAAGAATATCGGGCATTAACTAAAAACACTTCTGTCTTATTTCAAGGTAGAGTTAAATTTTTACAGAGCGATGACCATTTTTAAGTCCGTTAAATAGTGTAAACAGAGACGTAGATTTAACATTTTAAACTCTTATTCCACACCTTCTAACAAATAGTAATACAAGTTAACTACGCTATATTCTTGCTTCTGGGAAAACCTTTTCTATCAGGCCGTGACCGCGACAACTAGAGCAAACATCCCCGCTGGCCCTAATTAACATTTGGTGGAGAACCCAGGTGTTCTTGCAAGCAAAGACCATGAATAAAAGCTACTTACAAATGGCCCTCGACTCCCAGGTGGACCCTTTGCACCGGGCAAACCGTCATCTCCCTTAAAGAACAAAAATCATAAATGTCATAGTTACGCATGGTCATTCTGGTGAAGATTAAAAAGATAAAGCGGCCACAAACCTCTTCACCGTGAGTCCCTGTGGGCCCTGGTAAGCCAGTGGGTCCATAATAGCCCTACAAAATGATGCACATCGTCAGAAATTACGAGAATTAATGTCTTACGACTCTAGGGTAGTCCTTAAAATTGTAACAACTGGGTGAGGAGCAAGGTCAGGAAAGTGACTGAAAGTAATGCTATGGTCTCCGTCAGCTTAGTTGAGGAATTACTGGCAAAAGGATCCGTCGAAAAGTCTGAAACGATTTAATTTAATTTCAATTTTAAAAACCTTCAGAGCAATACTAAAAACAACGCTACAGGCAAAATAACCAACCTGATCTCCATCAGTCCCTGCCAGGCCAGGATTACCCAGTGGACCACGCGGACCCTATGATCATGGATCTAAAGTCAATATTGATAATTCCAGTATTACAAAACTGGTGCGATATCTTTCAACGATATTTACACGTTTGGCAAGGATTTCGTCTACATGATTGGAGACTATCTTGACGTCTATGGGATTACTTAACGTCTATTCAAATTTTACAAGTAACAGGTTAAATTGCATTTCTTTACCTGTGGCCCCGGTAAGCCAATCAGTCCCTCGAATCCTGGAGGACCCATAATGCCCTGAAAAGGAGACAAAAATTTTTATCACCTTTTTAATAATTGCCTGTCGGTTTGTATAGGTAAATATCATAGCTAATAAGCATTAAGATAGTCCAGTTCTCATTTAATAATAATACAAGAATTTATATAGCGCCATTTCCGTCAGCTCACTGGCAACATTGCAGAGAAACTGTTAGGGTTACGTGATTTATTTCTTGCTCTTTTTTTAAATAAAACTAAATCATTCGCCATTTGCACATCTCCCATAATATACCTCGTTTGCCCCCCAAAATTTTGCATAACCTTTGTTTTTCATTTCTTCTGGGTATTACAGCCGTACCAGGAGAAATGGAAACAATGCCTATGCAAAATTTGGGGGGGAGGGGGGGCGGGGGTCGCAAACAAGGTGCATTTTGGGAGATGTGCAAGTGGCGAATGCTGTGACAATAACATGTTAGAGATGGCATGTTGATGAATCCATTCAGTTCCTTACTACAACTTGCAAAAAGGGTTTGTAGATTTGTAGGCAACTTACGGGATCACCTGCGCTTCCTTCTTTCCCATCCTCACCGCGTGGACCCTGCAATAAATATGTCTCCCACTAAGATCAAACAAGCAATTTCTAAAGCTTCAATAGCGTTGATAGTCCTGGCTTTGTATTATGTGAGAAAGAATTCAGTTGGGAAGATATTGAGAGAGGAGGGAATACCTTTTCACACACGAGTACGACAGTACGGCAGTTTTCTCTTTGATAATTTAGTCCAAATTGACATCATATAAAGTGAAAACTAGTCTAAAAGTAAAACGTTCAACATCTTTAATAAAGATGCCATGCTTAAATTGTCGGGGAACGTGATCATTTATAAGAAATATGTCAATAAGGACTGTCATACAAGACATACCAAATGAAATACATTTTCTGTGTTGCATGTTCACTTTTTGTTTTATTTTTACAAGAAGTGCTCAATTGTTTTTATACCGTCACCCAAATATCGGTTTGAAACTGCTATCAGATATAACACTGAGACAAACTTCTACTCTATAACTGTCTTACAGAAACCTGTAACGAAGTCCAAAAGCTCTACGCATTTGCAAGTCGGACTCTTCTCTTTCTTTTCTCCCTAGGAAAGACAAGTGAAGACAGATTAAGTACCAAGATCGATAGGAGTAAAGGAGAAAAGAAGTGAAGAGTCCGATGCCTCCTTATAAGAGCTGCCACAGTTTGTTCTTGGATTTCAATCGCAAATTCTTCTTCTTTGAAATATCTACCAAATTGTGATGAACAACAACAACAACAGAAGTAAACACAGACTGCTATTATGTTAGGAAACAATTTTTACGGACAGAGCCATTCTTCATTGGAAGCTGTTAAATGTGCTTGTGTGGCAGCCGAATAAAGAGGTGTTACTTTTGTCACGACTTAACAGTTAATTGACTTGGCAAAAGTAACTATTCGGATAAATAAAATAGCTGAAAAAGGAAAGCGAAGCTGAATGTAATTTTTGGAGTGTAGTAACGTGAAACTTGACTAAATGCGTCAATTCCACTACATAAACTAAAACAGTGGTCAGCAAGAGCAGAAGAATGAGATGAAGTAGTAAGAATGATGTGCAGTTAGTGATGGACGCAATTAAAGAGTTCTACATAAGACATCTAACTACAATCATCAAAATATTTTCTCACCATCAATCCATCAGCACCTGTTTCGCCAGGGGGGCCAACAACACCCTTTAGGAAAAATATGGCAACAGAAAAACTATTTTAAAAACCAGTTGAGTAATTAGACGTGATCATTGTATTGATCTAAAAATTATTTAAAAGAAACCGGCAAAATGGTATTTAATGATAGTACTGTAACAGATATAAAGAAGACCTTTTCACTATCAGTTACAATAAAAAGATAAAAAGAAAACATTAAACGTTCCATTATCTCTACACACAATCATTCTAAGGTATCTTCCAGCGTTAAGAAGGCTTTTTTTCAACATTTTAGGTCCCTAAAGTTTTTAATGAATAAATCTGTTGTTATGAGGGTGATTCACGCATTAAAGGTCCTTAATACAGGTTGATATTTCAGCTCTAATTGAAAAATGGACAATAGTTCTATTACAAAAAGACATT